AACTCCCTGGTAGGAGAACCCGCAGGTCCAACACCAACTCCATCCATTTGCCATCCTCACAGTCCACCTTCCTAACATCCATTTTGGTGTTATCCTCCCATCTCCTTCCTGGTCTACCCAGTGGTCTCTTTCCAGAAGGATTCCCTGCCAAAATTCCGTATGCACCCTTTGTTTCCCCCCTCCATGCGTGTCTGGAGACCGACAGTGTTGTTAATTCGCAGTAGAACCTGAAGATGGCGACGTGGCGTGTTCTTTATGGATAAAAGGATTTCCCTATCGCGGGGTCCCAAGTTAATGTGCCGTTCCTTACCTATAATAATCACTGATGTAGGATTCCGTTCCATTGACTGTCACTGCCTGGTCATGTGGGGCCATGGTGAAAAATCCCCTTGCACATTTTGATGACTTCGTGTCCCGTAGTTGGATTAAGCATGAAGAACCCCAAGAGGGTTGGCGAATGGCGGGCCAATCGCAGGAACCTGAGGAACTTGTCTAGCACACTGCCGGCGTAGAAGCACGCCGGATGTCCAGAGCCGGAGTGAGGGCTGTAAATGTGTCTCCAGGTGACGGCTCTCAAGAAACGGTACTGAAAACAAACAGGGCAACTGTCAGACCGGCAGGTGACCACATCGGCTGCAGCTGTTTACAAACCCTGTAGTTGGTATGTCGTCGTTTAAATCATTGACGAATAAACAGTCGATGTTGCTTTGGGTGGTTTTGCTGTTTATGGTATTTGTAGCCGACTCTTCTTTATAAGAAAAAGCAAGGAGAACGGAGACCGGATAAAGGCTTTGGTTAATTCGGTGATGAACTTTCAGGTTACTGAAGCCGTCTGGTTAGTTAGAACTGGGTTGCACTTGTAAGCAGATGATCTGGTAACACGGACGGAGGATGCATATGAGAAATATCACTTCATTTTCATCAGGAATTTGTCTGCAGTCCATCAAACAAAAACCACACTCTGGGATGACTGCAGTGGAATAGGGAATTAAGTGCATTGTGAAATCCCTCCCAGCAGTTTGTAGTTTTAGCCGACCGTTCAAGAGCTGCAACATGATGATTCCATATTCCTATTGGAAACTGGGGATCTCTACGTGCTGCACCCTCAATGTATGTGGAAAATAAGTACGTGAGCGCCTCATTATAGTATCTTCGTCTGGAAATGTGGGGGCAAGCTCATCAAAGACACTCCTCACATCATGGACTGGGTCAAAGTCGAGACTGGGTTTAGTGGGGTTAGTTTCATTTATAAGCATATTCTTTGTTCATGTCAATTACAATACTGCATCAATAAAATCATCTCGGGCCCCAACACCCGATTCTCAAACACCTGAAAATTGTTGTTTCGCTGTTGCGAAAAGACGCGTATTTAGTAACAGTATCAGAACTGTGACCTGATTGTCGGTCAGTTTCTAAGTCACTGACAATTTACTCTTAGCTTCGTGTTGTTGTTGTTGTGATGAACAGTCCTCGGCCTACAGCAGTGTTTTCGGTTACGTGTCTGAATCTGCCCCGAATCAGTCCGCGTTAAACAACAGAAGTTACGGGCTTCTTTTAGAAGCAGAAATGTTAGACCCTCGTCAACACTATTAAGGGTTTGTTCGTTACAAAGATTCGGCTTTTCCCCGCTCTCTTACCTCAGACTTCATACTCATCAGTGCCATGTAATGTTGGAGCGTTAGCGTTTGTTGTTCAGTTGGTCGACCTTGTCCTATACGATGCACGACATCCACATCAGGGGTGTACAATAGCCATTTCTCGCACGATGCAGGTTCACAGCTTAACACGCGAGTGCTGGCAGAACATTCCAGAAATCCGAAAAAAAACCAAGTGAACGTCGTTAATTCTTGAAAGAACTTTGATTTGCATTGATTCGTAATTCAAGGCCACGAGTGCTTAATGCGCGCTCTTTCAGTAATCTCACCAACACGCGTTAATTAATTGTATTGTGTAACCGTCCCTTTTCTTCCACCACATGTCACACTGCTTGTTTAGTATAGTCGTAGCCTGGTTTGCTCATATGGTTACAGCTTCTTGACGTGGGATGTGCAAAGATACAGAAAACAGGAAACCGGGATTTCCTCAATAATCGTTTCCCAGGTCGGTGGATTGGTCGAACAGGGTCGATAGCATGGCCACTTCGTTCTCCAGATTTGACACCTCTCGATTTTTTCTTATGGGGTTTCATTAATGATCGTGTGTATGTTCCACCCTTACCTGCCAATCTCACTGAGCTCAAAGCTCGAATCACCGCCGCAGTTGCAGAAGTGACACCGGATATGCTGGATCGTGTTTGGCAAGAAATTGATTTCAGGTGGGATGTCACATCGAACCAAAATGACTGTTTGAATTAAAACTTGATTTGTTTTGCTACAAAATGACACGTCAACCTATTCTGTAAGCCTTCTGAATAAATTTCTATATACTTTCAAACTTTTAAAGTCCTTTTAGAATCACCCTGTATTGTGAATGTGGGCGTTCGTCCATGTGAGCATTTTTCCGTGTGGGTAATTTTCGTGTGAGCATTTATGACAGTGGGATTTTTTCTGTGCGCAATTTTCTAGTGCGGTTTTGTAATGGAACCAGTAACAGTTTCAGAACTGTAGCCGGCCGCAGTGCCATAGACCTCGTGCGCTTGTGCTGTCCTGTGTACAGATAGAGGCCTTGCGACGGGCTGATCACTCGTCCAAGGAGTCCAACCGAATGTCTAATACGATTAAACAACAGGAGTTATGCTCTTCTCTCAGAAGCAGAAATGTTAGGCCCTCGTCAACACTATTAAGGGTTTGTTCGTTACAAAGATTCGGCTTTTCCCCGTTCTCTTACCTCAAACTTCATGCTCATCAGTGCCATGTAATGTTGGAGCGTTAGCGTTTGTTGTTCAGTTGATCGACCTTGTCCTATGCGATGCACGACATCCGAAATAGCAAAACTGATTGAATCAGTCTTTACCAGAAGTTCTTCCAATGATCGACCTTCTTCTAAACGAGACACGGAATCCGCCATAGCTCGATCAATCTTGGGACCCAGATTCGAGATGCCCTGATTGAGAACTGAGGTGGCGACGTCACAGAATCGCTTGCACACGAGCCTCACTCGTCTAGCCAAGTCATCGTAAGAGCAAAGATCGAAAATGCGAGCCAGCGCCTCTGGCGGCAAGTCCGTGATGTGCAGTTGCTTTTGATTGCCACGATTAATTTTTGACTTAATACGGCGAATATACTTGTTCATCCCGACGAAGATTTTATGACTAAATTATTCACGGTGGTTAAATTATTTTATCTGAGTTAAATATTTACGGTCTACGATTGAAAGCTTGTTCACCTTTCTCGCCACACAAGACGTCAACAGACTACTACTTACTAAGAGGCAGTCAACAATGAGACAGCCAGCCAACAATGTGAAGCAGTCAGCGTAGTACAACAATGCACTGACGTCATGTCTCGCAGTTTACACTTCCAACAATTAGTTTGCTCGTTGATCGTATGGTTTTAACGATCCTGTACCAAATGCATGTGTTATTTAAAATCGTATAATCATGGGGTCTCGGGTTCGATTCCCGGCGGTGCCCGAATTTATAACTTGTGTTGGGCAAGGCCATGGTCTAGGCAACACGGAGTTTTCCTCCGTGGCATCCCAACAATTACTCCATTCACACACAGAAGAAGGCAATGGCAAACCACTTCTGGATCATCTGCCAAGAACGTATATGAACAGGTCCCAGTCCGAGAAAAGGATGGAAGGATCCTGTTCATATGGACCTGTCCTCAGACAGAACACTAAATAAATATAAAAATAAGAGAACATTATCGCGTTCGGTAAAATTGAAAGGCTTCGACATAAATCGTTCCTTCGTCGACTGATTCAAGGCGGGCTACGATCTGCGAGGTAGAGCCACTATGAAACTCACCAGGTAGAGTAGGCGAGAGGTTCGAATCGGCCACGACCAGAAGCATTACCGCATTTGAAATCTAGCGGTTTGTGAGTCAGCTCCCACTTCAAAGGTGATTAAAGTTTCCTACGAACGAAGTCGTGGAATCTGGAGCGGGGTTTTCCTGTCTTGAGTCCTAAGTTGAGCTGCAAATGCATGGATTTCATTTGCATTGAAACTGTGTCCAAACATTTCAACTGCATGGATTTTATTAGCGAGGTGAACAGATGGGTTTTTGAGTTCGACTTCCTGAAAAACGCATCTCTCTCTACTTTTTCCCCCCAAATTCCTTTCTGTTTCAGGGGTGTACAATAGCCATTTCTCGCACCGATGCAGGTTCACTGATTAACACGCGAGTGCTGGCAGAACATTCCAGGAATCCGACAAACCCAAGTGAACGTCGTTAATTCTTGAAAGGAACTTTGATTTGTATTGATTTGTAATTCAAGAGTCTCAGTCACATGTAGTCTACACGTGATAGCAAACATACTCTGTCCATTTCTCATGAAAAACTTAACATTCAGAGTCCAATGTACGTTTTGTGTCTTTAACGAAGACAACGGGAAACTGTCAGTGTTGGAAAAATGTACTCGCTGCTTAAACTCACATTTTCTTGGGTGAACAGACGAAAGCAAAGTTTTGTAGAAATGCGTAGTATTTGTTCTGTGTGCTACAGGTACAAGAACAGAGTGGACCAAACTAGAGACTGACGATTCTACTCCAGGCAATTTTTGAAATTTTCGCTCGTTTTTGATGTACGTCATATGATTCAAACAACTTTTATATATTGAAGGGTCTTTCGGCAAAAAAGGGGAACGAAAAAGTGTAACCTAGTTTCCTAGGAAATGTCGTCTTTACTCGGCATTGTTGTTACCTAGAAAACCTAACCTTACATTTCATCACATTACATTAAAATACATTACTTTACATTACATTCAGCTACCAAAGACCCATCTTAAGCGTAACTAACTCAAGTTAAATAAGCAAAGTCTTAATCAAACTTATCTCAATTGTAAAGCATGTATAAAGGAAATATTTAGAATAAAGCCAATATATAAACTTCCTTTCCGTATAGATGTATTTACGTCAAATTCTCCGGAACCGTGGTTCCACTGACAACTTTTTTTATCGTCTCTTAAATTCATATCCGCTGCCCTTTCGCCTCAGTCATATTTTTCCTCAGTTACTACCTTAACACACTAATTATCCTCGATCCCTGCGTACACTCGACTTAGCCCGTCGACATTGGAGTTTTCGCTGCCTTTCTTATACACTCGAATTCTTATAGTTTCATTCTCGAACTCAGTTCACCCGAAAAATCCACGTTAGTTGCTTGTGATCGGCCACGATGTTCAATTTCCTTCCGCAAATGCATGGTCTAAACCAGTGGTATTTAACTTGGGGTACGCGAAGACATCTTAGGGGGTACGTGAAATTTAAAAAAAAAATATATTTTTATTAAACCCCCTACACCAGTCGTTAAAAACTAATCAAGGAGAAACCAATTACGTAATTAATAACGTTAACTATTCCTCTATCAAACACATTGCCAGAGTTTTTAAATTTATCAGGTTTTGTTAAATTAATTTAATTTCTTTTAAAAATAATGTAATTTCGCCCATCCGTTATAAGATGTACAGGAAAGTAATTCAGAGGTTACAGGAGCGAAAAAAGTAAAAATATAAAACAATAATTTATATTTTTGTCAAAATGTTTGGAATTCCACTACATTAACTTTCGCACTGAAATGTATTAGAAGATAATTCGAAGGATATAAAAGGCTTTTTGACAGGGGATTTACATAAAGCCCTTCTGAAATCCATAGTCACATTAAAATAGGCAGACCATTAAAACGCACTTAATGTTTTAAGTCCCAACTTCTTTTCCAAAATGGTGTGTCCAATACAGAAATTGTTTTAATAATGAAAAGAATCAGAATATTAATCATGCTGGTTTATAAATAGATCAATAGCCAATATAAATGTCCGCTGAAAAATTAAAAATTGGGAAAAAGTAAGTACTGCAAAGCCAGGGCAAAGTTTTTACGTGGCTTTACATCGCAAAGTGTATGTAATTTAACATGTTTATCCATTGCTTTGTATAGGCAGGAAATTTAGTCTCTTACCATGACAAAAGAATACATTAAGGTTGTTTGATAATAAAGTACCAAGAAGAATATTTGGATTTAACATACAAGTAACATGAGGCTGTAGAAAAATACATATAAGGAGCTTTATAATTTGAATTCTTCAGCAGATATCATAACAGTGATCAAACACAAAAGGACGGATGATATTTATGCATGTAGCATGCATGAAGGAGATAAGAAATGCATAAAACATTTTACTGGAAACCTTGAAGGGGAAAAACTACTTCAGAGACCAAGACATAAATAAAATGATAACATTAACATGCATTTTTAAGAAATAGGGAGTAGTGGATGGATTAGATTTATCTCGCTCAAGGACAGGGACCAGTGGAAGGCTCTTGTGAACACAGTAATGAGCTCACAAGTTCCATTAAAAGTGGGGAGTTTCTAACTGAGCAACTATTAATTTCTCAAGGACTCAGCTCCATTAAGTTACTTACGTGTTTCAGACGGCTAGCATAAGACATAAAGAGAGATGTTACCACTCAGTTTCTGTAGCTATGTAAGTCAGACAGCGTCAGTTCTTAAATTTTTTGGCAGCCCACAAAATAAATTCCCATGCAGATACAATAAAATTTGGTGATTAATTCAAATGGTCTGTCTGCTCTTATGGCAACATACAGCGGCGTAAGACAAACAGCCTGATGATAGTATGGACCGCACGTTATACGTGTGAGTGACGGTAACTCAGTCAGTATAGCGTCTGACTACTGACTAGATCAGGGTTTGATTCTAGCAGGGACAAGGGATTTTTATTTTAACCTGTGCATCTATTCTGGCTCTGGGCCCCACGCAGCCTCCTACCAAATGGGTGTTGGGGGTCCTTTCCCTAAGGTTAAAGCTCAGCTGGGGCACGAATCTGATTACTCACCCCCCAGCTACTGTCAAGGTCAAGAGTGATTCCTCCGTCGTAAGATTTATCTTAAAACTTTGCATACCCTGTAATTGCAGCCAATGGATCAGGGAATTATTGTGACCTTCAAAGGGATTGTCGAGTCAGTGCAGGCATCTGACTCGGTGACCGCGAGGGACTACTGGAGGTCCTACAACATCCTTAAGGCCATAAGTAAAATTGCTGCAGCCTGGAAAGAAGTGTCGCAATCATACACGAATGGCAATCGGAGGAAATTGTGGCCAGTTTCAGCAGTGGTTGAAGATGTCATTCGAATGGCTGAGGATGGCGAGCCTCTTTCAAATGAGGACTTTGAGGAGCTGGCTGCGCAACTGGCTAAATAGGATTCTGAGGAGGAAGAGAGGGAGATTGTGCTAATTATGGCCCTCACCACAAACACACTTCAATCAACTTTGGCACAAATACAAACAGCCTGTGAAACTCTGTCATAATGACCCAGACTTCCATCCAAACAGCTGTTACTAACATATTGAAGCCCTACTACAATATGTTAGAAGAAATAAAGAGAAAGACTGCAGTTCTTTCCTAAGGCCAAAGAACCTGCATAACCAGTCGACCCCCCCCCCATCAGGCCCATCCCATTAATGCAGCCCCATTATGTCAAAAAACATCAATAATGGGTCAGACAGTGGCGTTATTGCATACTCCAAAGATGGCTCCACAGGAATGAACTACTAAGTTAAATTTTTATTTTATTACTTATATTTTTATCTCTAAATATTATTTATATATCATAATTATAAAATAACCACAAATATTTAATATAATAAACACATATTAATTCTTAACGTTCAATTTTCATAGTGAAGGAACCTATCTCATTTAAATACATTATAATTATTCCTCGATTTATGCCACCTCAGCTAATGACCCTGAGGAGGTGGAATGTAACCCCGGCGTAAATCGGGGCCCACGTGTAGCAGGATTTCGAAAATAAGGCTGGTAATTACCTTCTATAAGTCCTGTTTTGTGATGTTAAACTCCTTAAGAGTGTCAGCAATTCTTGACAGTCCTGGAAAATGACGTTAAAAGAATGTTACAGTATGTGTCATTACAGAAACCAATTAAATAATTCCTGAATTATCATTATTAAAAAATAAATGTTCACTAATGAAGAATAGCTATTAATACCCATAACATTTGTGTTCTCTAGACCCAACACTTATTTTCAAGATACATTACAACAGAACTCTTGCACTTTTCCTCTCCATTTTACCTCACATTAATTCCGCTGTTTCCTGTCTCATGCACATTAATTATAAGGCTCATTACGTAAACCTTAAATAAATACAACACACCTTCTTCCAAAATATGGGGTGCAGCACTGAACACTATACGAAACCACCCAGGATCAGCACATCTCATCTCTGAGCCTGGAGTAACGTACACTTTACGAGCCATGAAATGTTTGAACAATGCTGTTAACAAATGCTTGCGTTAAAACCAATGGGTACAAATTTTATAAAATGAATTAAAGAAAAACATCACTAGAATGTTTTTTTTTATGGGTAGAAATCCGAACATTACAGATAACAAAAAGCTACCTCCTATCATAAAATTAGAGACGAACCATCAGCAGTATTCATTATCTGGAATGCTGAATATTCTTATTTCTAGAAATGAGATGTTAATGCTCATAAATCAGGCAAAACTTCTCA